GGTTGCTTTCACAGTGTCTAGTTTAGCTTTGGAGTTGGCACAGCCATAACTCCAGACGGCTTCTGGACTGTGAGAGGTGGCACAGGGATTTACACCCGTACTAACACAAATCAGAACAGAACACAGGTGAAACTGTAGTAAAGCATTTGAATTTGAAAACAACATAAAGGCACTACAGGGGGAGACTGATTATCTCTTCTTTAGCCAAAGGTCAAACTTTCCATCAAACTTTTCTTTTCAGTTGATGGGCACATTTTTGAGATAGTCTGCAAACAAAGTCCCAAACAAATGGCACTAAAAATATTCCCCGGATCTGAACCTTGCTGGCCTTGTGTGCAGCACACACTGTGATAAAATAAATCTCTTCTTTGCAAGGAAGCACACTTGGACGAAAGTGGTGGAAAGAAAGGATTCCAGTAGAAGCTGCGAATTTCCCACAAATCATATAACACCAGTCTGCAGCTGTACATGAACATTAAAGTCTGTTCTCTAATGGATCTTCTTACAAATACAGGGCAGTTTGCTATACTATGATCTTCGGGTGATTTAATGGATTATATATTTTATACAACCAACTCTGCCTGACTGGAGACACTACGGTGTTTGAGCTTAAGCGTGTCTAGGTCAAAAGTTCTGTCTGGACCTCTGATTGTAGCAGAAAGAAGGACACTCTGTCACATAAATGCAGGTTTAATCTTTCAGTCTTTCTTGCCAGTATTATAGTAGAAAACGTAAGCATTGTATTTTCAAAAAACAAAGGAAGTATCAGGTATAATTTCACACAATGCCACTGGAAAGGCATATGCACGCAGCAAACTAAACAGCCACATCTACATTCATGCTTGCTGCACACACACACACACACACACACACCTAGTGGGAAAGTAAAGGTCAGGCATGAAACGTGCATCTATGCAGCTTTGCTAAGCCTTTCACTGGAAGCAGACAACAGGCTCGGGCAGGTTCTGACTTTGCCACAAGGGCAAGCCCTCAGTCAAAATAAGAGCATGACTTCATATGGGATTTCAATTTGGGTCAGCAGCAGGCAGCAGAGAGGAAGGAAAATGTATCTCAACTGGACATATTCAATTGAAACGAAATAAAACTACTTTAAATTTACAAAATAACTATTTATGAATAAAACAAAAATCAGGATAACTTGTCATTATCGCGGCTGCTGCTGCATTTCAAGAATCTGTGATGCCACTTAGATCAAAACACCATAAATACGCCTCTTCCACTTTGATTTCCAGGGTATAAATTCAAGGGAATGTAATTATTGTAATTACCGTAATGACAGGGTGACAGCTACAGTGTCTCTGCAGCAACAATGTCGGAGAAGAGCATTGTCGAGATTAAAGCCGGACATTTACCAGCTGTAATTTCGGCGCGCATGTCATGCCACACATGAGAGTGAGTGGCAGTGAGAGTGTTTGTACGTAAATGCACTTGTGCGTGACATCTGAAGACTTCAAATGACCTAGAAACCGTTTACCCTTTAACCTGCCAGACACTTGTGGAGCCATTAGCCTGAAAGTGTTTTTTTGGCATCTCATACCGAGTAAATTGGGCTGCATTCTGTTCAGACATGCACATCAGGCACCTCTTATCTCACAGCATCGGGTTAATTGTGGGTGAGAAGAATGTATTACAGTGCTCGCATTACCAACAAAGTGTCGCTCCTTAGAAACTTGTACAGTGAATGTAATGTAGAATACAACCTACTTTCTTTTGTCACGTCTAGTATTCATTTCTTTTCCTAAAAAACATGAAGCTCTGTGTTTTCCACGTAGGACACAGGAGCAGCAACAGCATCAGAGAGCGTGAATTTAGAGTAAAGCTTAAATAATTAGTTGATTAACAGGCTGACAGAAGATTATTATCAGTTCTTATGATTTACTATTTGTTTCAGCCGTTTTTCCAAGAACAAATGACAGGAATTTGCAGGTTAGAGAAAGCTCTATGAGTCCGATAAGTCAAGAAACTTTAAAGTATAATAGACATTTTTCTTAATTTCAAAAACCTACTAATCACAAAACCCTCTAATCCACTAACACGGTCGAAAGGTACGTTATCATTTTTAAAAAATCACCAATATTACAGATTTCTTTAGAGCCAAAAACTGTAAAAACATAAAGAATCATCACCAAAAGTTAGGATGGTTCGAAACCGATTTATTATACATGTCTTATTCAAAATTTGGGAAAAGAAATGAATTAAAATACACGGTTTGATCATGTGAAAACTAAAACTTTTGCGCTCCGTACTGAAACGCCACAGTGACTCAGCTTAAATAAACTGTCACAGGATAAAAATTCACTAATGTGTCTGATGAAATGCTGGCTGTAGTAGAGAGGAGACAGAAAGAGAGATCGAGAGAAAAAGAAAGCATACTTGACCAATAATATAAATGCAGTATAAATCAAAAATGGTAGGAGATAGTTAGCAAGTCCTTACATGGTGAAATACCCTTCTAGAGTTGATACGCATGATCGTGATGAAAAAAAATGAATGGATGGATGGCAAAATATCTCTTGCATGTGCTGCCATCACAACTTTATATTTGTTGAAATGTGTCTGACTTTATAACTTTGTTATGCTGCATTTTCTGAGGTTTCCCTACTTCTTTGGATGACTGTGCTGTTTCCATGAGGACTTTACGTTGCAGGGAAAAATTAGCCTACAGTGAGTAAAGGAGCAATAAAACCCCCAGAGACTGGTAGGAGACCACAGGGTTAATGTAGGATACTTAAACCGTGACTCCACAGAATTCACAGGGAAGATTTAGCTTCCAGTCAGCAGCAATTATGAGGGGGACAAATGAAAAAATATTCTTTATCCTTTTCATTCATGTTTAAAAGCATGACTTAATTCATGCAAAAAGAGCATCCACACATAAAACACCCTTGGGTATTAACCCCTACTCCTGTCACTACACTTCTAAACAAATCCAAGGCTGCTCCACTTCATCAGAGTTGTATTTTTAGGAGCTTTTTCACTCAGAAGCTGCCCTGATGAAGTCTGGCTGGGAGTGAAGCAGTGGAGTCAGATAGCACAGGATGTGGATGGAAGAGGACTGCCACGTCTTCGCCCCTCCCCGCCGGGGAAACTCATGTGAGGGCTGCACACTGCCCAATGGAGTCGGATTTTTTTTTTTTTTTTTTTAACCGGCAATAAATCCTGCAAACTGACTGGCAGCAGGGGAGATTTTACTGCATTAAAGGCAGCTGGTGTTGTGTGTGTGTGTTTACCTCCTAAACCAGAATCGCAGTTAATTAGCTATACGGTGGTGGGAGCTCGAGTGGAAATAAAGCGTGTCTAGTTTCCAGTATTTGTCCACGAATAGCCTCAACACAATGGGGGTAACTCCGGTATCTGATATGGCTCACTGTATGTGTGAATTTTAAGAATATTTGATGTTAAAAAATGTTAAAAGCAACGCGAAGCTATGTGGAGGCAGCGGCAGCATCCCACGCTGCTTTGCACTGGAATGCCACAACAAGTTCCGATAAGTTTTGCAGCTAAACTCCAGGCGTGGTGGTTTTCACTTCTCATTTCTAGCTCTTTCCATCATTATTTCCCCATATTTTAACTACCTTTTATTTATTTATTTTTAAACCGACTTCTCTCAGTTTCACATCTTTGGCTGCTAGCCGAGAGTTTAGCTAGTTTTTATTTTAGCTAGCTTAGCTAAAAGTTTCTAACGGTCGCTGCTGCTAACCACGATAATAATAACAAACAAAAAAAGACAATGTGTGGGTGTAAGCTGGTATGATAGCTAAACAAAAAGGCTGGATAGTGCTCCTATAGGCTGGCTTTTCTTATCTTATCTTATCAGGAGGTGATATTTACCTCATCCAGAGCATCCTGTTAAGCAGAAGTGTGTCCGCAGCAGCTCCTCTGAAAGCCTCAAACCGACTCTGCACCAAGATGAATCCCGGCGGTTCGTCCTATCTGTGATGTTTCGGTTCACTGTTGGCCATCTGGTGGTTAAGGGCTGGATTTCTACGAGTCTGCCTGCATGCTACGTGCAGATCCTCACATGCTTACAGTCGACTTTTTTCGGGGGGCTGTCGTTTGTAAATTTCAGAAAAAGGGGGAGGCGTCTGTGAGGCAGTTTGCACCAAAGTGGCTGAGTATTGTTGGAGAGGGGGCTTTAATTTAGAAATGATACCAACTAACGTCACCCTGTTGCCACGTGTTGAAAATATACCGCATACTCTTATTATTTCTTCTTCTCAGTCCCTTCACAGATCATGCATTTAAAATCTTCCTCACTACACCCTGTGATGTGTGCATCCATTCACACTGATGCTGAATTTGGCCAAAACAAACCTATTTTCACCTGCAGTTTCCACTTTTCTCCCACATTCCAGAAAATTCCTTCCTTGCAAGTAAAAAAAAAAAAAAAGAAGAAGAAATGTGTGACTGGAGGGGAGGGAATTCCTGCTGCATGCTACTGAGTTCAACAGGGTGGAGCTAAGTGTGTGTGTGAGGAAGGGAAAAAGAAGAAGAGGAGCAAACAGTTAACTGTAATATTTCCTAACTGGGATGTCTTGTGTAAACACTACACACTGTGTATGTCTGGGAGAAACACTGGCTACTGGCAAGCTGTCATCACACTCCACTAGAATACTGTTGAGGCTGCATGACTCAGGATTAGATTATCATCACCTGATGGAATAGAATTGAAGAAAACACTTATTTATAATGTAAAATTAAATGAATACACTTTAATCGAGCACAGGTGCTAACTATCACCAAGCAAACTGTCATAACAGAGATCATATTATTGCTTTTATCATTAAGGCATCACACAAGAAGCACTTCATGTGATACTAATGTGGTGAAATACTTCATTCCAGTCTTTCTTGCAGTACAACATCCACCTGTTTATTCAGTCTCAGCTTGTTTTATACATTTTCCCAATTGTAGAAAAACATTATAGTATACTTGATCTCAATGTGAACCGTAGGAAAAAGTGCATCCTCTTCCTCCAGTCATCGCCGGATGTCATCCAGGGAGGTGAGTCTGCTCCCAAACAGCTGCTCCTCGTAGGTCAGCAGCTGACGCAGGAAGTTCACGTTGGGCGCTGTGCATGCCCTCCTTTCCTTCAGCCAGCGCAGGGCGTGAAGCAGCGACCACTGTCGATGCTCCATGAGGAAGGCCAGCGTGAGCGCGGAGCTGCGACTCCTGCCCATGCTGCAGTGGACCAGGACGCGGCCTGCAGGCTCGCCCCTCAGCGCTGCGCTGATGAACCTGGAGGCCAGCGGCAGAGCCTCCACCAGGTCCTGCTGGGAGTCGTCGCTGAGACGTAGCCTCAAGTAGCACAGGGTGTTGGGGAAGGCGTCGGGGCTGTTGGCAGTGGCGTTGACCACGTGTGTGATGTGTAGGTTCTTGATGATGCGGTAGTCAGAGGCCTGGGAGGCAGAGCCCTGGTAGAGAGCCTCTTCCAGGATCTCTGAGGGGTAGATGGTGAGGGTTTGCCGCTCAGGTTCAACCAGGACCATGCGTGGTGTGCAGAGGAAAGGGTAGAGGGCATGGAAGGCTGAGAATCCCCCCAGCAGGATCACAGGGTCCATTCCCAAACCGCTGAGCTGGAAAAAGCAGCGCTGGAGGTCTGGGGAGTCTGCCCTGGCCTTAACACTGCCCACTGAAATATGTACAGGGACACATTGAGCCAATCACAGTAGGAGGACAGAGACAGTTTGAAGAAGGCAGTACAATCCAAACATTTCAACAACATTAAGTGTAGTTGTGCTGGAGGCTCTGTGAGGCTGCACAGACACAGTGGTGCTTTAAACAAAATGCTAATATTATCATACTGACATACACTGGCACTACTGACATGCTGATGCTAAGCAGATGTGTTTGAGACGTTCACCATCTGAGGTTAGCGTGCACGCATGTCATTAGTTTTGCAGGTATTAGGACACACACCAAAATTTAGCACAAAGTGATGTGTGAAGTCTCTTATTGGTCATTGATTTAACATCTAAAAACTCATCTTAGTGTATCAAAGTTATATATTTACACAACCTTAATCCCCTCGCTGCAGCTTGAGCACACCAGCTGACCTACAACTCTGCTTAAACGCTATGAAGCCACACTGCGCTACACCATGGCAGGTTTGAATCCTTGAGTAACTCCGACTTACATGTTAGAACTGGAAATCAATTCTGAACAAGAGTAATGATTCAAAAGTGACTCATCGGTACACTGCTGCTCAAACAACCGCAGCTTTAAGATGGAGCTGCTCAGCCGTGATATTTACCACTTATTGATGTGTCAGCAGGCATATGAATACCTCTAGAGGAATGTGTTAGCGAGGTAAAAAACTTCATTATGTCTGCTAGTGATTACCACAGCTATTTAAAGTTATCCTGAGGAGGACATGAATGTCTGAACTAAATTTCATGGTGATCTACTCAACAATTTATAATAAAACACATCATTGTCAGCCTGCTGGTGGTGCAGAAATCATCAGCTCACCAGAGTTGTCAGGATTCATCCTCTGGGGATCATGAGTATCTGTAGTAACACTTCTATCTGTCTACTAGTTGTTCAGATATTTCAATCTGTGGTGGACCAACAGACCGTCTTCTGTACAAAACCATGCTGCTAGCATAACTTAAAGTATGATTTACTTATACTCATGACAGCCTGTGGTGTTATTTTGCATGTGTAGAAGTACATGTGTGTACATATCTGACCTGGGCTGCATCCTTCTTCAGCGTACAGCAGTATTATAGAATATTTCTGCAGCTCAATGCAGCTGATCAGACAGCCCAGCTCAGGGTGGATCACCGTCACAGCGGCCCGCGCCGTTACCACGTGGCTGTCCTTGTACCTAAACACATGCATTTATTCATATGAAATCTATAATCACAACAGCAACAGCCACTACACATAAAGTTTTGCTATAGCAGACTGAGAAGGATCAGGCTGGCTATTTTCTGCATTATTCATTTTCAGACCCTTAATACTCTCTGACTTCTAGCAATTATATATTTTGTCATTTATTAGAAAAATAGTGGATGATTTTGTCAAACTTTTGGCAAGTATCACTCAACCAGTTGTGCATTTGATGGGGGACTATTTTTCAGAAGTGGACTAATACGCATGTGGTGCTTTAATGACAATCCCCCAGCAGCAGGAAGTTGAATATCAGATTTATTAAAATTAATTAAAGTGCCCATGTTCATTGTAATAAAATGATGAAGCAACTTGACAATCTGTTCAACAGTGTGATCCACTGATGTGGTTTTAATAGCTTGTGCACTACAATGATGTCAATGGAAAAAGTTACTGTGCATCAGGCTTTGGTCACGCTGACTATGCTTGTTAGTGATTTATTGTTGGGTTTCATCTTTTTATGGGATATATTGCCAATAAAAAATAAAAATAGATCACAAGATCTAAAGAGACTCAAAAACTGTGCCTTGGATGATTTGTTCCAATCTCATTCCTGAGCTCATCTTGTAGCTTTCCAGTATCTATACATGTTTATCCAAACCAAACTCCTGCAATAAATGCTATCTTTGTGAATTTATAATGCTGTTGTATCTTCTCAGGCCAGACTGACCTGCTGATTTATTGCATTTTACTCTACAGAAAAAGCTTTTACTGGGCCCATCTAATATATAGCACAGTAGAGCTCCTACCCACCTCTCTGCACTGCGACAGTCCAGGATGAGGATGTAGTAGGGATCGTACAAGGCGGGCTGGCCTTCCTCAGCGTTCAGCAGGTTGTACACTTGCTGCGGGGTGATGTAGCCTCGCTCTACACAAGCTGTTTGTGGAAGAGCAGGAACTAGCACCTCCTCTGGCTCATACAGCACTTGCAGGCAGAAGAAAGAGCGCAGCGTGGCTTCGTGTGTGCAGACATTTTTGTGTGCAAAGACGGAGAGAGTTCAAAGTAAAAATACACCCTTTACCTTTGTTCTGGATAGGTATGATGGAGGAATGGTCGCTGTCAGTGCTGTTGAACTCTCTGCTCACTGTTTGGAATGCGTTGACAGGCTCTCCGGAGGCCGCGCTACAACTGTTATTCACTCTGACATGCACAAAGAGGCACAGACACGCCGACAAGTGCAGTCTCAAGACAGCAATGAAGCAATTTTGCAAAGAGACTAAGCCCACAACCAGTTGAATTACAAATGAACCGTCTTGTAAAAAGAGCTGTTTACCTGGACAGTACTACGCCCATCTCGTATTAGTCATTTGCGGATGCATCAGCTGTTTCCCGCCAGCCCTTTATTAGAAGAACATGCTACATAAAGACACAAAGAAATTAAAACGTGTGGAGGAACATCCTTTTAAGAAGCCCAACAAGCAGTAAAAAGCTGCAATTCTCACTCAGTCCTGCCCTTAATTTAGCTGGTGGTCTTGGAAACACAGTAACGGTTGAGTGCTCTAGAGGGCCACATGGTAGCTGGCTGTGACAGGTGACGGAGGACAGACCTGGACAGGACTCCTACTTCACCATAATTA